CGATAAATATGTATCCCAATTGACTATCTTACTAAAAGTTACCAATTTTTATTTGGTAAGTGCATAGGTTATTAGTTGATAAAACGTGATGTTTATCGTAGATTCTCAACAAAGACTTCTCTAACCTTTTGAAAATTTCGTCAATGATAACTTCAAGTATGAAAGAAAATTTCTTAGCATATGACTTAGGACCTCAATAGAGCTTGCTCAATCAAAAATGATATATAGCAAATATTATTAATGTGAACTTAGGACATATTATAAACTTGCATAAGTGTGAAAATTTGAGGAAATCATTAATAGAGCTTGCTCAATCAAACATGATATAATAGAGATTGCATATTACTAGAGGAAATCATTAAATTTTGTTGATGACGATCGTTGGAAGAGAATATTAGTTCCATATTGTATTTGCTTGTGAAAATAGATTTGATTTGCTACTACAATTTGTTAATGCACAAGTCAATAACATTTTATGCAATGAAACGATTGACCAGCCTTCGCATCTAGTGAATATAAATTGTGAAATGATTATTTGGTGGGATACATTAAGTGTGAAATTTTGATAGTTTGGCTGATTCATATAGTTATCGAATAATTTTACAATATGAGACATGAGACCGCATATACAATTTTGTTATGGCACCCCCTTGAATGAAATCGTGGATACGCCACCACTTATAATACAAATCGGTAAAAACGTATTACAAATCAATGAAAATAAAATATACAAATGCATGTACATATTTTTTTATTACTTAATTAGCTGGGGCCTTTTCACTGACACCATCCTACAAATTTTTTGTATTTTACAAATCATACCATTGACGGTCAAACCCTCTCTCAATCAAAGTTCAAACCAAATCAAACCAAACCACAACAATGCATTTGTTTTCAGGAAGACTCTAGTAATAATAATAAATAAATAAATACACAAGTAGAAACGACTTATAAAACTTACTACTACTTGTGGGGATAAAACTAAGATAGAGGATTAAAGCCGAAAATAAAAAGTCAAATGCATGTACGTAGTTTCTACTACTTAATTAGCTGGGGCTTTTTCCCTGATGCCATCCTACAAATTTTTGGTATTTTACAAATCATACCATTGACGGTCAATTAAGATTTAACGACCAAAGAAGAAGAAAAAAAAACCAGAGAAGGTAGAAGGGAAGCATCACGTATGCGTCCGGCAGCATAATTTGTAAAACAACATCATTAATTGCTTGCCGTATTATTATTTAACTTATTATATTAACTTGAGTCGATAATTAAGATAACCATATATTGACCCGAAGAAAGTCTTGACTTTCATTGATGTAACATAAAGGTGACATCCACGCAGACCCGACCCAGACCCTGTGCTGATCAGACCAACAACACAGGCCTCCAAAGAAAAAAAAGTAACCCATAGAAGGTAGAACTTAGAAGCCAGAAGGGAAGCATCACACATGCGGCCGGCAGCATAATTTGTAAAACAACATCATTAACTGCCTGCCGTATTATTATTCAACTTATTATATTAACTTACGTCGATCATTAAAATAACAATATATTGACTGGAAGAAAGTCTTGACTTTCGTTAATGTGACAGAAACGTTACATCCACGGAATGCTACGTCATTGACATGTTAATATTTAATTCAAAATTTGATTAAATTATAATAATAAAAATAAGAAATTATCAGAAAATTAAATTAAAAAACCCCAATCTCCGGTCATGGCAGAACCTACCGATTTCTTTCTCTAGTTCCGACGATACAGACTCTCCACATCGCGCTCATTTGTGCTCAATAACGTCTCTCCGGCCAACAATCAGCGGCCACGATCCAGCCTCCCTTGGATGGCTGGATCCAGAGCTAGTATACCCCTTGTAAATTTTTTGATTTTGGTGTTAGTTTCGATGCTTGTTGAGTTACGGACCAGTCCTTTACACCTTTTTTCAAATATGGTCCAGTGCTTTACCCTACTCTGGATCCGCCGCTGCCAACAATGATACTTATGAGTTGGGGTCAATGGCCGATACATGCATGGTTAGGGGTGTCCCGGGACACCCCTAAAATTTGGAAACACGATTATTCAACCTACGATAGTAATTTGCGTATGAGAAAAAAAATGTTTAAGTGGTAGTGTGGGACACCTTTAAAATTTGGGAAAATGATTATCCAATTTCCCGTAGTAGTTTGCGTATTGGTATAAATAATATTTAAGTAGTAGTTTATGTGATTTAAATTTGGGACACTGCCACTATTAGTTAATATATTTTCAATTACGCTACAACTCATCTGTTATTGTGTTTTAGATCCAAATATAATAGTAAAATGTTATTCTTATCTCAAATTATTTTCAAAACCTAACGATTAAACTCAATTACGGGATATCCTTGTCTAGTAAGATATGTCGAGAGATATTTGTTGAGCAGTATAAACACCGAATGCATTTTATAATTTGATGAAACACGTATGAACTTTTAATGAAATTTTTATTAGTTAGATATTTTATATTTAATAATTATTTTATTTAATTCTAATATTTAATTTAATTTAATTTTTTATAGAGGACACCCCTATATAGAATTCCTGGATCCGCTACTGGTTGGGGTCGCCTCATCTGTCCCTCTACACCCGACGATTCACCCTTCTACACCCGGCTGCAAATCCAATTAGCCTGACGGTAACCAATACGATGAACTAATTATCACATCAAAATACGTGCATGCATTTGACGAATTATAATGAAAATATTAGAGGATAGTGCAAATTAGCCTGACAGAGACTAATAATGATGAATTAATGAAGTATGATCTAAGATAACAAAATAGAATAAAAACTTAAAGTATGTCGTTCATTGTCTTAACTGTAAACTAGTGAATTATCACATAAAAAACCGAGGGTGCTTTACCAATCATAACATATAAAACTAAGTAATACTTGTGGGGATAAAACTAATAATTAACTCCGAAATAGAAAGTCAAATGCATCAACGTATTTCATATTACTTAATTAGCTTGGGTTTTCCCTGACGCCATCCTACAAACTTTTGTATTTTACCAATCATACAAATGCCAGGAAAACAATTCTCTGGATAAAGAAAACGTGTACATACAACTTGTGGGTTTTTTTTTTATGAATTAAGAAAAAGACAAATAAGCATGCATGTTGTTGATTTTTATTCTTATTTTATTGATTTTTCTGTCGCCCTACACTTGGGGATAATAATTTGAACACATTTCGTTGGGTATTACTTTAGTAACCTTTTTCTTATGTTCAGAATCTGGCCAAGATTTTCATTTCCTTCCCAGAAAAATCCTATTAGTATAGGTTGAGTGTATGACATCAATGTCCAGGCCTCCTTCTCATCGAAGCAACATCTCTACGGATAACTACCTTCTTTATAGTTGGAATATAGATGTTATAAACTTTTATCCCTGGTTGGACCCGGCCCGATTCGAGTCAGACTTCAAAATAGTCCCCAGAAAATTCCCCGGTCTGACCCCTAAAGAGGGAGAAGAAGAGAGGAAGAATAACAGAGGAAGGGAGATGGTGGTTGGGTCATGGAAGTTAGGTAGATTTATTTTGTGGAAAATAAGTTTTTAATAGATATATTTAAGAAAAATTTTATTTCAATCATTAAATCTTTAATTACTACCTTATTCATATATATATTTAGAAAACGTCTAAAACGGCTCAAACCGACCGGATCCCGATCAGACCATTAAACCTCAAAACCCTTGCTTGACCGGCTCAATGACTTAAACCGATTTGACAACCTTGCATTTTACTCTCTTTCCATCCAACTTCTTCTCTCATGATCATGCACATGAGCATAAGTCGTATAGCCAAAGATTTTGACGTGCTCGATCTACCGAAGGTGGATTTTCATTCCAAAGTTCTTGAGGTGTTTTTTCCAATCATTTGTTGAGGTTGGATTTCTATTTAGAATACGAGAAGTCTATTCTATAGCGTCAAGCCAAAAGAAAACAGACACTTTGTTATCTTTCGGAGATTACCTAACCATATTCATAATTGTTCTGTTATTTCTTTCAGCGATGACATTTTGCTGAGGGGTGAGAGCATCTAAAACTAAGCTGCCTTATAATCTAACTTCTTCGTAAATATTTCTGAATTAATTCTACATAAATTCTCCACCCCTATTAGTTCTAAGATTCATGATAGAATTTTCCAAATTCTTTCTCTAATTGAGCTTTAATATTAAGAAGAAAAAAAATATATGCAAGAGTGTCAGGATGGACTATCAAGAAATATGCCCACTCAGTAGTATGCATGTTGGTTATACCACTCAGAACACTCATTTTTGTAGTGTCTAAATTTGTGTCACTTGAAACACTCCCCCGTGTCTCTTGCTCAATCTATGTGTATAGGGATGGGATTAGGTGCTAACCTTTATAGGGGTTAGCACCGTGATAATTAGCAAAAAACGCTACTAAAAATAATGAAATCACTACGGATTATTATAAAATCAATACAACATCTAAGTTAAATCACTACTAATTCAAACTAGTAGTAGTTTTTCCCTTGGTTAGGACGGTGCTAACTATTGTACAATTAGCACCGTAACCGCTCCCATGTGTATACCTTGGTTACAGTTTGCAAATGAATTCTGGTACCACAGTGAAATCATAAGTCGTGAGCAAACTGACACTTTATTCCACAGATCAAAGCAAAGCATAACTAAAAAAAGTTTTTGTTTGAGCGAACTCGGCAATAACCGCACACCAATGATCCCACATTTCTGTAAATCAAACTGCCACTACTAACTGGGCTCAGCAAATCCAGTAGCAGCTAACTAACACAGACACAAGTCTTTTTTTTTTTTTTGAGTGACTCAAACAACACAGTAAATAAACCAACACGACACAGTTTTGGACAACGACTGTCGAACTTTCTTCTTCTGGCGCTCAATTTTCTTCAGCTCCGCCACCCCCGGTTCAAACCTCACCTCCACCGCGCTGGTATGGTAGCTAGGAATGATAATATTCACCACACCTTTGAGTTTGATTACGATGCATGCATGCTAGATAGGAATCGAGTCAAGCAATATGGAAGTGATGTGATCTTTCAGAGACCCTGAGTGCGTATACGAATCGTTGCGGATGTATATGAAGGTGATGATTCGTACGAGATCGAGGAAGTGCTGAATCACAGGCATCTCAACTGGAGTCGGCCTCATGCACTCCTCATTCAAGTCCTTCCAGGCATCGTCGCACATCTTCTTGATCGCTTCCACGGCCTCTTCGTCGGACGCCCCATTCTCCTTCTTGTAACACTCGACGGCTGATGGACAGTGCCCTCTCTTCTGCTCATCCTCGTGACTCATAATGTCATTGAGAAGCCGCCCGAGGAGCTTTGTTGCTGTATCAATGGTGGGGTTGGTTTTCAGCCACTCGTATTCTTCGGTCCCCATGGCTTCCCCCATTCCAATGAAGTACGCAGCTGAAATCACGCCGTAAGAGCTTGAAGGTATGCCGTTTGCCATGAACTCTTTCACCGTTGGTGTGTAGCGATTCGCCAGCCATTTTGCCTCCGTGTCATATGCCCTCGCCAACTCCTTGAACTACTCGTACATTACATACATAAGGCGATTGAAAAAAAAAAAAAAGCGAGTTAACTAACCAAGAAGCCAGAAGACCATGAAAACAAACGCCATGGCAAAACTGAGATCAATGATATGGATCTTACAGCATCCTTGGCGTGGTGTGCGCTGTAGCATCTACCCTCTTTCTCCATGTCCTGTTCCATTTCATCGCAAAGTCTAAGGAATGCCCTAAAAAGGAACTGCATGTCATCTGGAAGCTGCTCAACCGCGCTCTCGTCGTCGCACCTGAAAAACCATGCATGCAATATGCATGTTGTTATGACGAACAAGGGACTGATCTAGTGGTAGGTAGATTCAAATCCCCTAAGCAGCACCTAAATCACAAAACTAAGTAAACCTATATCACCCTTATAAAAAAAACGAATACGCGCGCGAATGTGCACAAATTAACCTCTCAAAAGCAGTAGTGAAGAGCTGGAGCTCTTCCGGGGTACCGTAGGCATCGTAAGTATCGTCGACCAGCGACACCATTTTGGCAAATTTGGTGGCTGCAATCCTCGCGACCACCTTGTGTGGCTCGTAATGAGAACCCGTGGCCCAAAAATACAGCTCCACGATTCTGTCCCTCGCGTAAAGAAGCTTCTCTTGAAGACCCGTGTCCCTCCACCACCTGGAGACGAAGGCCAGCTCGTTCTGGTGCATCAGCTGCACGAAGTTGAAGTCGAGCTTGGCGAATCTGAGGAGGGTTTCGTCTCTCGATTCTTCTTCATCCGCGTAGAAGGAGATGAATCTCCAGGAGTCGATCCTCCGGGCGCTCTTGTGGAAGGGGCAAATCAGTGCATTTTCAATGTGTGCTGCCAAATGAGGCTTAGTTGATGATGATGACGATGAGTACTCTTCCAGCTGCTGCCTCGAGAAAGCTAGGGCTTCTTCGAGAATGGGCTCTCCATGAAGCCTCAAGTGGGAGGCCTCATACAGGCTCAGAATCCCTCTCACGTCGCCCCTCACACATTCCTTGAACTCTCCTGTCTTTACGTCCTTGAATTCGTCAAACACATCTGCGCATAATGGACGTGCATGCATGGTTAAGATTCATATTTAGACATATCGTAATTCGAGTTATTGGGATCAGTTAGTTTATTATAACAACATGGTATATACTGTAACCCTCCTGTATTAATTAATCGTTGTTTTGAAAGCAGCACGGGCCCGTGTAAACTTCAATTTCATAAGTCTTTTCAAATTTGGAGATAACTAATACGAGAAAGTTATGTATAAAATACAGGGGCGAAGCCAGGAATTCAAGTCTGGAGGGGCCAAATTTATTTTCAAACAAAATACTATAAAAAATATCAAATATAATTTATTATTTTAAACGTACACGGCGTCTTTGAGATTAATCATATCACTCAAAATACTACCTATATGGAAAGGGTCGATTACATCTCGTTCAATATATATAGCAAGACCACCGACGAGAAAATCATCACTCATTTGTTGCGTAGTTTAGTCACTAATTGCATGACAGAAAAAGTCAGTTCACCAGTAACAGTAGAGACTAGAAGAGTCAAAACAAAACTAATAATCTAACGGGTAACACTTTCTTGCAAGATCGCATTGCACAATACATACATACTAGGTTAGTTGATAATCCAATAATTAAATAAAAAAGAATAAAGCATTTGTATAAATTTCGTCTAAAATGGAACTATAGCCAAAAACTTAAATAACAGATAATAGATATTGAAATGTGTACCTATATTGAGGTTCTCATTTAGTAAGAGGATAGATAGAAGGATAGATAGAAGGTAGAAAAAGTTTATGAAGAGTATAAATAAAAACTAGGCTCCCATAGTACTCGAACTGCCCACCTCCAGGTTAGAATTGACAACTTTCACCACTACACTATACTGAGAGTTATGTCATGGTTCTACCACTACCTATTATTATTCGCTTTCTAGAAATTCCCGGGGGGCCATGGCCCCCCGGCCGCTGCACTGGCTCCGCCCCTGATAAAATACGTACGGGTATTTTACTTCGTCTCTAATATAATGCTACGTTTAATAGTACGTTAATATTATATAAAATTAATTATTTTTAAAAATAAATAAAATTAAATTTAACCATTTAAGTCATTAAATACAGATATTAAACGTGTTATACGGATTTTATACGTGAACCATCAAATGAACGAACATAAATGAAACGACTTTACAATAATATAGATACAGAAGTTTTAAATGAATAAAACACGTACGAGTACATATACGTGTATTAATTAAACGGAGTATTTACTAACTATGTTATATATATATATATATATCATGTTTCCTTAATTCCTTTAGCAACCAGTAACATCGATCTTTTGCCACCAAACTTAGCAACCAGTAACATCGGTAATTAGAGCTCGATCGTTACTTTACTTACCACAGGGAACTCTGTATCCATGCTGGCGTAGGACTCGAAACACCAGCGAAACGGAGTAGAGGTCATTTCTCCTCTCGGTAATATCGGAGAGAGATTGTTGGAAGATGAGCCTCAGTTGGTCTTCGATCTGAGTTTGAAAATGGTACGACACGCCGAGCCGCTCCAGCAAGTTGATGAGCTCGACGTTTCGAAACGGACCGTCGGCTGCAGAAGCCGCCAACATCTTCTCCACCTTCGCCTTCGCCTGTTCCACCTGCCGCCGGTAGAATTCCATTTCCTGCCCGCCGATCAAACATCATCACCACGCTTATTAGATGCATGCATGCAGCAACGTAACGAAATATTAATTAAAATGTATTGAAAAATAATATTATGTGGCCGGCCGGCCGGCCGGCGATATTACCGTAGGAGATGAAGAGAGCGAAGCAAATCTGCAACCCCATACAGACGGAGAGAAGTTTGCTAGTGGACGAGAGCTGATCGTCTGCTCCATGGTGTCGCCGGTGCTTGACTTGGCCGCCGACGACTCTCCGGCTTTCAGTATTGCCATGAATTGTTATGTTTCACGACGACTGAGAATGCAACTAATCAATCAGGATGTTTGCTTGCAAAATGAAAAGCCACCTGGCACCCTTATTTCAGGATATCAGTAGGCAGCTTTTTTTTCTTTTTTGTGTGTGGATGATGGCTATTGTTAGTCCTCTTAATGATGGTTTAAATAAGCGAAACTGTACACTTTAGACAACCTTCCATCTCTAAATATAATTTGTCCACTAGCCAATTGAATAATCTTTAGAATACAACACGTAATTGTAGGAACCAATAAACTAAATAGGGGAAAGAGCATAGAATAAAATTTAAGTTAAATTTGTATTGATATTTCTAAAAAAAAATAAAAATAAATAAAGGAATAAATCCAGAATACAAAGAATACAAAAGAAAGCATAAAAGTAATTACTAAAATGTATACTAGTTCCCAACAAATACATGATGGATGGTCGGATGCTTAAACTAATATCGTTGATTCCTGCGGCCGGACCACCGTCTTTATTATAGTAATCCGAGTTGAATGATACTGAAATATTGTAAAACTATGTATCGGAAAAGTCTGTGCTAGCTAGCGTATTTATGTATCTATCCAGCAGGTTTAATCGTTTCAAATCGCTAAAAATTATCTATTGGTTTAGATTTCGATAGAAGATTTTTTCGTGGTAATACCATACCTTGCCACTTGAGTTAGATTTTGATGGTCAGCTAGAAGGAAACTGTTGTGCATATACATAGACAGGGACGTAACCAGAATTTTGTCAAGGTAGCTCCATTTTTATTAAAGTTTTAAATATTTATGACATAATTTTATATTTGAATTTTTTTATAAATAAAAATATATTAGTAGTAAAAACTACTAATATATTAGTAGTAAAAATATATTAGTTGTGCATATACATAGACAGGGACGTAACCAGAATTTTGTCAAGGTAGCTCCATTTTTATTAAAGTTTTAAATATTTATGACATAATTTTGTATTTGAATTTTGTTATAAATAAAAATATATTAGTAGTAAAACTATCAAGAATATTTTTCTTTGTGCACCAAACAATTATTCATAGTTTAGGTAGTCGTTCGCTTTTGAATGGTGTTCTTTGTCAAGAACCGTTTAGTATCAATAATTCAAGTTGTTAATGGAGATTCAATGATGCAACTTATATCAAACTATTAGTCATGATTTAGTTAGTTTCTTTGTCAAGAATTGTATAATATCAATCACTCAACAATTTGGTTAGTCGTTGACTTTCAAATGGTGTTCTTTGTAAGCCATCATTTAATATCAATAAATAGAGTTGTTAGGAGAGCTAAAATAATGGATTGTATACCATTTACTAGCAACCCCCTCCAAAAGAAAGCTAACTTATACGGGCTTGAAATTTGTACAAATAAGGTCATCGATATTAAAACACAAGACCTAGCTATTACCTCCTCTCTTCGCCCCTGTACGTAGTGTTGTATATATAATTAATAATCAGGGAGGCAATGACATCGGTCGCAAGTTGATGATCACTATATATATATAACAACGAAACTTAGCAACGTAGTAAGTTATCGAAAAAAACAACTTACTTACCAAGTAGCAGAAATTAGTTACAAATTAGTTCAAGTTGTTGTCGCCCTTAATTCACCATGGAATGGTTGCCGGAGCTATTCATCCTCGCAGTTACTGTCATCCTGCTAGCAACCGGCAGCTGGTTTATCTCGAAGAAAGCATCCAAAACCCGAATGGGTTTGAACCCTCTACCGCCGGGTCCATGGAAGCTCTCCGTCATAGGCAACCTCCACCAACTGATCATGGGCTCTCAGCTGGTCCACCGCCGGCTCGGGGAGCTGTCCCGAAAGTACGGACCCGTGATGCAGCTCCAGCTCGGGGAGCTGCACCACGTGGTCGTTTCCTTGGCGGAGGCCGCCAGGGACGTCTTGAAAACGCACGACGCGAACCTCGCGTACAGGCCCTACGTTCTGGCCGCCGACGTGATTTTCAACGGCCGCAAGGCGATCGCCTTCACCCCTTACGGGGCGTACTGGCGCCAGATGCGGAAGATTTGCATGATGGAGCTGCTCAGCGACAGGCGGATCCTCTCTTACCGTTTCGTAAGAGAGGACGAGCTGTCCGGTAACATGGTCCGTCGGATCCAGAAGATGACGAGTACGACGACTCATCACTGCGTGAATCTCGGCGAGATTCTGTTTTGGGCGTCCAATCGTGTGATTGCCAGGTCAGCTTTCGGAACCATTCAGGAGGACGCTGAATCCTTCATGGCAATGGTGAATAGCATCTCCGACGTGCTCGGGGGTATGACCGTCTCCGATCTATACCCTTCCATTACATTTCTCCCGACGTTGACCGGATTCCGGTCCAAACTCAACCGCCTGCATCGAGCAGCGGATGTTTTGCTGGACGCGATAATCAATGAACACTTGGCAAGAAGAAAAGCTGTTGTTGCAGGCAATAAGGATCAAGCAGCAGCTAACAAAGGAACAAGATTGAAGTGGGGAAAACCTAACACTTGAGTTTCTCATTAGCCACTCTGCCTCTTTATAGGCAGATCAAAGAGGAAGAAGACAACTTCTGGTACAGTTTGTCTGAAAGCTTGGAAAGGAAACAATACAATTCTTGGCAGAAAAGTAAACTAAGACAACGAACAAGGTAAAAACGACAGTGTCTTGATGGTTCCTTCACTAAGCGAAATGGCAGCGCAGCATAAGGTTGAAGTATCAGCAAACCGCAGCGTAGCGAAGAAGACCGTTGGAGAAGGAGCGGAACGTCGTCGCTTTAGAGTCGACCGTTTGAAAATGGATTTTCAATCTGTTACCCCCCCGCAAGCTGGTGGGCAGAGGTTTCGCACACCAAGCTTGGAGAGCAAAGTGAGAAATGGGGCTGGGGAGAGAGGTTTGGTGAAAAGGTCTGCAAGCTGATGTGCAGAAGAGATATGTAGAAGCTTGAGGGATCCCGATTGAAGTTTTTCCCTGACAAAGTGGCAATCCAGTTCGATATGTTTGGTTCTTTCGTGGAAGGTGGGGTTTTTGGCAATGTGGATTGCACTCTGATTGTCACAATAAAGGGCAGCAGGAGTCGAAGAAGGCACCTGGAAATCATCCAGCAGGAGCTGGAGCCACTGAATTTCACATGCCGTGAAGGCAAGTGCACGATATTCTGCCTCACAGGATGAACGAGAGACGGTATGTTGTTTCTTGCTTTTCCATGAAATGAGGGAGTCTCCCAGATAGATGCAGAAGCCAGTTGTAGAACGTCTTGTATCAACGCAAGCTGCCCAGTCAGAATCTGTAAAGGCTTTCAGTTGGAAAGAGCCTTGTGAGGGGAAGAAAAGACCAGTTGCTGGTGCAGATTTGAGGTAGCGGAGCACCCTTAGAACAGCCTTGTAGTGAGTCACAGTAGGAGTAGTCATGAATTGACTTAATTGTTGTGTTGCAAAACTGATATCTGGTCTTGTTGTTGTGAGGTAGATTAGCTTGCCAACCAATGTAACAGTAGTGTTCAGGGTCTGCATAGGGAGTATCAACTTCATTGCTGAGATGCAATTTGTAATCCATTGGTGTAGAAACAGACTTGGAATCAATAACATTTGCCTCTTCCAAGATTTCCAAAGTGTATTTTCTTTGAGAAAGATGAATACCTGATTTGTTTCGTGCCACCTCAATACCAAGAAAGAATCTCAAATCACCAAGATCTTTTATAGTGAACTCTGTATGGAGGACCTGTTTTAATGCTTCAATCTCCTTAAGATCATTGCCTCCCAGAACGAGGTCATCAACATATATGAGAATACAGGTGTATGTAGAATCAGTGACCTTGAAGAACAGAGAATGATCTGCTTTGCTTTGAACATATCCAACCTGTTGTAACTTGTCTGTGAGTTTAGAAAACCATTGTCTGGAAGCTTGTTTAAGGCCATATAGGGATTTCCTGAGGCGGCAGACAGGATTGGGAGTGCCTGGAGGAGGAGTGAAACCTTGTGGGAGAGTCATATAGACTTCCTCTTCTAGGTCACCATTGAGGAAGGCATTGTTTACATCCAATTGATGTATGTGCCAGTTCCTCAATGCAGCAATGGCCAGAAAAGTTCTCACTGTGGTCATCTTGATGACTGGAGCAAAGGTATCTTGAAAATCAATGCCTTCTTGTTGAGTATTACCTTTTGCTACTAACCTGGCTTTGTGTCTTTCCAGAGAGCCATCAGAAAGGAACTTGTCCTTGTAAACCCATTTGTTGCCAACTGGTTTTTTGCCTGGTGGTAGGGAAACTACATCCCAGGTATGATTTCTGACAAGAGCTTGAATTTCATGTTGCATGGCCTGATTCTAGACATCAAGCTTGGATGCTTGTTTATAAGTCTGAGGTTCTTGATGGCTAGAAATACTAAGAATGAACTTTTTGTATGGAAGAGAAAGATTATGATAGGAGATAATAGAAGAGAGGGAATACCTGTTGTCTTTGACCTGTGGCAGAGTTGAATGATTGGAGCTGCTAGGACCTTGGGACAAGAAACAGTGGTAATTTTTGACAAGATGAGAGGGAGGTTTAGAAGTTCTGTCAGAACGTCTAGGAGCAGGAGGTGGTGGGGAAGGTGGTGGAATTGGAGAGGGTGAGGGTGTAGGAGAATGTGGTGTTGAGGAGGAAGAATTGTTGAGTGGTGAGTCTGGAGAATCAGGATTAGTGATGGGGGAATCTACAAGGTTGTGACCTGTGGTATCAGGTTGCAAAGAGGGTGAACTGTCATGTATAAGGTGAGAGTTTGGGGAAGGTAGTGGAAAAAGGAAATCTGGTTCTGAAGGAGATGTTCCATGATCAGAGTCTGTTTGGAAAGGAAAATGGGATTCATAAAATATAACATCTCTGGAGGTAAAAGTTTCATGTGAAGAGAGGTCATAAAGTCTGTAACCTTTAATACCAGGAGAGTAACCAATGAAGATGCATTTCCTAGCTCTTGGTTGAAATTTAGTTCTGTGGTTGGCCAATGTACTGGCATAGCAAAGACAACCAAAAACTCTTAAATCAGAAAGGTCAGGGGTTTTGTTGTAGAGGATTTGGAAAGGGGTTTGATTGGATAGAACAGGTGTAGGAACTCTATTGATTAGGTGAACTGCATGGATTACACAGTCCCCCCAGAAAGCTGGTGGTAAA